CTTTGATTATCTTTAATCAAACTAATCCGATCACTTTCTTATCCATTTCAAATCATTGCCATCTATAGTCCTCAACTCTTATTCTACACAGGTAACGGTTACTTCAACATCAATACATCAAACTTGAGTTTGATTAACTTTTGCATTCTTTATTTCTCTTCAATAGGTGGTGTCAAACTAGGAAAAGTTGAAGTTTTCAAAATAAAAATTTTGAACCGTGTAATTAAATACATGTGATACAGTTTCAACTGTGTATTTTCAGTTTCAACTTTGTATGTATTTGGAGGGTGGCCTCCCTCGGGCTTCACCATTTGTGAAGAAACAAAAAAGGGCTGATGCCCCCATCCTTAATAAATCAACACCTACACCGGGAAACGCGCCAGCAACCACCTCTCCTCGATGTGATATGCCTCGAATCACTCGTCGCCAAACCGTTGTATCAGAAATTCGCACCGCCCTGGATGCTCTTGACGATAATGATCCAACGATTACATTCCCCCTCCGGTCCAGCCTATCAACATTTTCTCATGCGATGGCGGGGTCTTCGATTGCACAACTGGCTGTCTGCTTACATATCAAATCATCTCGTGTTCTCACAGTCTCCTGCATCATAATGACTGTTTTCAGCTTAGCAATGCAATGGCTAGAAAACACATTTAATGATTCAGACAACCAGCTCGTATTTCTTTTTCAACTCTGGCATCAAGAAGAAGTTGAATACTTACTCGGTCAGCTACACGCGGCTCAAACCCAACGCTATCTAGTACCACGAGGGCCACCTGCACGAGGACCACCCGATGGACGCTTTGCCCTCCTCTTCAATGAGCGAAGCTCCGTGTTTAGGCACCTGGTTAGTATTTCTTCGGTATCTCAAACTCGGGTCTTGATGATTGATGTGATCAAAGTCATATGTTGATTTCTTAGGCAAGGATGCAAAAGGAAACTTTTGTGAAGTTACTTCACATGATTGGCGGGCATCACATCTTTCAGAACAGATCTCCCAGCTCGCCACAGGCCCCACCTGAGTGGCAACTCTTGGTCGCTCTGGCGTATCTCGGGTTGACTGGAAATGGTGCTAGTCCTAGGATGCTTGCCCTGGGTTTTGGTATATCAGGTAAGTAAATTTTACTTTCCATTCCCTTTGTCCAACGGCAATTGCTAACCTCACTTCTCAATTCTCGTAGAAGGTAGTATTTATAATTATACAACTCGATGTGTTATAGCAATCCTTTCGTTGAAGGATCGCTTTTATCGATGGCCCGACCAGACAGAACGCAGCAAAATCAAAAAGGCGTTTGGGCGGCATAGTTTTTTTAAAGGATGTGTTGGTGTCATAGATGGGACACTGGTTACTCTTGCTACAGGTCCTGAGAAAAACATTGAGGATTACCGAACTCGAAAATCAACGTATGCATTGGATTCAATGCTTGTTTGTGATCATCGCAAACGGATCATCTACGCGACTCATGGGTGGTGCGGAAGTGCCCATGACTCACGAGTTTTTCGTAATTCAAAGGCAAGTGTATTCAACTCAATCATGTACACCATTAAGGCTGATGAATCTCTTTCTGAACAGCTCTCAAGGAGCCCTCAACATTTCTTCGGCGAAGGTGAATATCTGCTGGGCGATTCAGGTTACCCTTCAAGGAAAAATTTAGTTTCAAATTTCAAAAAGCCTCGACATATACCCCTTCCAGCAGCCCAAAACCACTTCAACAATGCGCTCAGCAAACTTCGATATGTGATTGAGCACACAATCTTACTGTGGAAGGCTCGGTGGCAGTTTGTGAGACAGTGTCGAGTGGTACTGAAAGGTGTTCGATCAGCAAAGCGACTTAACTATTTTTTGAGTGCCACAGTAGTTCTACACAACTTCCTGATCGATGTCCAAGATTCTCAAATCCTTCAAGATTTAGGACACAATGGTTTTGATTTTGATGAAGGTGATGATGGCGGATCCGAAGCTATTGATGATGATGTCATAGAATCAGATGACACTCGTGCAGCTCTATTCACTCAATTCCAACAATTGTATCATTAGTTGTTATTAATTGTAATTACATATCAATGAAAAGAAATCAATGATTTTGTTCGCTTTTTCATCCTTGGTTGTGGATCGATGTCACTATCTACCTGGTGAAGTAACTCGAACAGAGTTACTCATATTTGCTAAATAAGCGATCGATTTTGAAATCATTTGGTTTTCAACATCAAAACATGATCGATTATAAATGCAAGGTTTTATATTTGAGCATAGCATTGGTAATTTCATTACTTCATTTTTGAGAGATGATACAATCATGTT